ATGGGGGTTAATCAACTCATCATAGCATTCTGTTACAGACCTCGATACACTACAATAATCCCTATATAAAATAACTTTTTCATTTCCTGTATTTGTTGCATATTTTAAAACTTGTCATAATAAATCTTGTTTTTATTAAACAAATACTTTCGAAAGTCCCTTTTTGTCTTTTTAATTGTTTTTTAAAATACCTCTAAAACTCTTTTGTAATTAATTTTCCTTTGTAATCTTGTCTGCACATCCAGACACTTTATCTGAGAACTTTTTCTTGCAGCTTTTGTCTTGCATCTTAAAATATCTAGTTCAGGGGTTCACCAGGTTGTCCTCTGACACCCATTCTTTATTTTATGCCTAAAAAATTTATTCGTGTTTATTTAATCTTTTCTTATAGCCTGAGGACCACATTATTCAAACTGTCTCTGTCTCTAATGGTTACGAGTTCATTTTCAAGTTTCATAATGTCTGTTTTCAGTTTGTTGAAAAAATCTTTTGTTCTAAATGAATTGTAAGAATAAGAGAATTAGTATAAATTATTAATTTTTACAGTGTTATAGCAACATAAATATATCTATGGTCACTCAGGGTAAAATACTCATTTCCACTAATCTAAAATCTATACTTGATGACCCTAATATCAAATCGGTTCAACCAATTCCAACCGGGGAGAAGAAAGTCGGAGATGAGTCATCTTTGTTGAAAAGTTTTATGAACCATAATAAAATCATATACTAAAATACCTCTTTGATCCAGTGCTGTAGCACCCCAATTAAAATTTTTAGAATTAAAATCACGTAATATATAAAAGTTAAAATTGTACAATTTTAAAACATTTTCTAAAGCATATAAATGTGCATTCAAATCCTCCGCCAGTGAGAAATAAGCCGAAATAATACTTAAGTTATTTTTACCATCAGACATGAAGACAGCCACAATACAATCTTGTACTATGACCACTACAAATTCAAGTTGTTTCTTAGTAATAATGATAGCAGCTCTACCCATTTCTGCATGCACAATTCTCCAAGTCCCCATATCATGCGCAATTTTATTTTGAATATAATAGGGCTCTTGTAAAGTAATAATGTCTGGTGTTTCTCTAATAATGATATCAATTGCAGAGAGCCTACAAGCAGCGACAGTGCAGTGATTTAAATTAGAGTTTAAAATTTTCATAGATAAAAAAGGTTCAGAGGTAAAAATAATATAAATATATAAAAAGATAAAATATGATTTCACTACTTTGTTGCAAACATTTTATACTAAAATTTGTATAATTAAAATAACAAAATCACAGTCTCTAGATCAATTATATACAAAATCTAGAATAGCCGCTGTGTGTAAAAGATCAAAATGAAAGGTAAGGGAAAATGCTTTTCATTACAAAAATTCACCAGAGTGCAAAAATGTAAATCGCAAATAAGGACAATGATTTAAAATGTCCCAGCCGACCAAAATAAATAAAATATAAATAAATTCTATATATCAAGATGATCCTTAATAAATCTAATTTCTTCCAAATACACAGGACATTCCTTAGAAAGAGTCATGTTCCTCATTATATTTAGTACTGATATGTCGATTGTATTCTTTGCAATTAGTACAGCAAACAAAATCAGAAGAACACGTAGAATGTAGATGATCCTCTGCACACACTCCACAAACGGTTGTGTTTTCACAAAATCATCTAATGTGCCTGAAGGCCAAGCAGTTGGTGCATCGTTTAAGATGAATATATAATTTTAGAGAATAAGATTTCCAACTGATTGTTATTCTCTGCTCCTCCAAAATAAAATTTTGACACTCTCTTAAAACATGAAAAACTCTTATGTGATATTTCCTGTTCTGAAGATTTCATTTTAAACACTAGGCGAACACATTTAGCACCACATGAACATTTCATTTTTAATGCCTCTATAAGTACTTCGTCGGAAAGAAAATTAGAAACATTGTAAATAATAACCTTAGATTGTATAAATTTTTTACGTTTTGGCATTACAAGTTGATTAAGTTTTTTGTTATCAATAACCGCTTTTCCAATTTTCTACTTTCTTCTCTGCTCTTCACTCTAACTATTATATCCCCATTTTTTCTGCAAAAAGAACCTACAACACAGATTCCAATTTTTTTTGGATCAATAATATTTTTTATTACCTCATATACATCAATATCTTCCTTGGGGGTCTTTAAGATGATTTCTTTACTTCTCCAGGAATCGGGATCTTCATTCTTCCTGTAATTGTATGACACTTGATTTTTCTCCACCTCTTCCTTTATACATTGACAGTTTCCCGTGATCTAATAAATCACGAATCTCGCAAACTTCTTTGGTAGTAAAATCCAGTTTGTCTTCCTTATGTAGATCCCTTTGCATTTCAACATGTTCCAAATTCTTTTGCGTAATTCATTCCGTGATCTTGTTAATACCAGAAGTCAAATTTTCAATTAAACATTTATAAACACATTTTTCTTTCAGAGTTTCCACCACTTTGTTAATATCACATATCGTATTAAAGATATCTTTTGGACAGTCGTGCAAATTCTCTCTCGCACTTAGTAGTAGTTTTCTTAGATTCAGACATCGTATCAGGTCAGCAATGGGACAGAAACAACGATTCAATACATAAAGATGCAATTTCAACCCAAAATTTAGTTCATAAAATTTTATAAATTCAGTAAAAATTAAATTAAATCTTTAAATGCAAATATGCACTGAAATAGACACGGAGCAATCAAAATTTGAAAATACGTAGAAATATGCTCTTACATGAAAGCACAATAAACTTCAAAAGGCAAAAAGTTTTCATATATCTGCAAGATAACTTTCAAATGAAAACAAACCGTTCTTCCTGGAAAGCTCATCTCTGTTCAAAGTTTCAGATATTTATAAAAACATGAAAACGGTGTGAAAATTCATGCAAATCAATTTGTAGCTAAATAAAACCATGTAGAATCATAAAAGTACTCCGAAAGTTATTTTCATAGTACCTAAAATTCAAAATAACGTCGAAAGCACTCGGTTGCCACCACGTCAAAGCCAGCTACACTTAAAAGTAAAATTGTTTATAAAATCCAAAATAATACATATAAGAGCACAGGAAATAGAACATCTACATTTAAGTTTTCTTATCAAAAGACCATTTATGTCTGTTTTTGCCATAAGGGAAACCTACATCCCAATCCAGAATTCCCATCTGGAAAGCTGCTTGATCTCAATATTATTAGAGGCAAAATTTCTTGACATGCTTTCAGAACAAATGTTTAAAACTTTTGACCTTGCTTATAATTATTTCCAGTACTTCTTGAGGTGTAACTTGCTCTTCAATGCTCCACATCTACAAGACATTAATTAGGTCTTAATTGGAATAAGTTCTCTCATCTGCATGACCTTCTGTGTTAGAAAGGCTTGACTCTGTACACCAAGCTTTACAAATCTGCTCAAGTACTTTCAGAACTTCCCTAGTATAAAGCTTGTGTGCAGAATGTTCTGAAGCATCATTAAAATTAAGATGTGATCATTTGTCTCTTAACGTACTATTTTAAAATCATGTCTCAGTCATGTAAGCCTCGTCAATCTATCTGCAGGATGACTTTTATCTACCTCTGTATCAAGCAAGGCCATTTTATATTTCCTCTTTATGTTTGGAAATTTGCTCATATCTTGAGAAATATCCATTGAATGATTTGGAACTTAAAATTGTTAAGGATTTTGTTGTTCCTTCATAGAAAAATGCAAAAATTGAACTCCTGAATATTTCCTTGCTTTTTTTTTTTTTTTTTTTTTTTTTTTTTTTTGAAATTATGTACAGACAAAACTTCCATAAGCATAGAAATATTTACAAACAATGATTATGTTACTTTATTTACTGATGAATCAAACTCTAATGATTGTGTTGGATCAGTGTTTGTGGCAATATTATCAAGAGTATTCGATTGCAGAAAAGCTTGCTGTATTTTTCCTGCTGAAATTATTGCTATTCATCAAGCTCTTCTATTTATTTCAAAACAATAAAGAAGCCAATTCATCCTTTGACTCACTAAGTGCACTTGAATCATTAGAATCTAGAAGTCTTCTGTTAACTGAAGTCACTAACCTTCATTTAGATCTTAAAAAAAACTTGAGGATATTATATTCGATACTCTTAAATTCTTGGCTACATTGATATAAGGGGCAATGAGCTGGTAGACATTGCTGATAAATCCATTGATACAGTCTATGTATCTGATATCCCTTATACAGACATCACAAAATATGTGAAACATTAAATTTTTTAAAAATAGTTGCAGCACTGCGATTTATAAATAAATAGTAAGCTTTGGCATGTGGAACCTGAAATAAAGTATTGAGTCACAAACAGAAAGAAAGAAATACTGGTGCGCTTACGGATTAATAACTTTCAGATTACCCATCAGTGTCTGCTGAAAGTGAGAATATCCCAATCTGTATAGACTGTAATGCTGCATTATTTATGATGCAATTTAAATTGATTATTCCAAATTAAAATTTTTTTAAATCGAAAGATGATTGCTCCTTTAACCCATCTAGTTTGATTTGTTCCTCCTCTTTACTATAAACTATAAAACTTAAAATGTTACATCTATACATTTTAGTCCAGGGTAATTTGTTTTCAGTTTAGTAGAAGTTTTAAGGTGGAACAAATTGGTTTTCAATACGATGTATAAATTTTTCAATACTATGCTATTTAAATTATTTCTCTATGTTGTTTTTTTTAGACTTGGTTGTAGTTTTTAGACAATTTTGATTAAACTTGATTTTTTTTATTGTCATGCCTATACCTTTTAAATCTTCATCTAGCACTACTGTGTGCTTGGCACATCTTAACCATGCAGGTTATGTGCCATAACCACTACCGCCCTTAAGTTTAAAATGTGTATTCTAAATTTTTTTTTTTTTTTTTTTTTTTTTTTTTGCTTGAATGCTTTAACTTTGATTGTATCTTAAATGAAATTGTATTAAATTTATTTTAAATTATCTTTTTCAGTTATCGGTTTCCTGATCTTTTTCCTGATGTGCAAGCAGTAAGAAAAATTCAGCGACAGTTGGATGAAATTATTCAGCAAGGAGTTTTTAATATAACTCATCTTTTGAAAGCAACAGATGTTATAGAAGAACAAGAAGAGCATACCAACACACTAGGAAAATATAACAAAAGTAGGACTTTAGAGCTTAATCTTATTTCAGGAGAAAACTGTATGATACTTTAACATTATCTGCTAGTAAATGGCATGATTATCTGCTAGTAAATGGCATGATTGTGGAGAAAAGTCAGGTGTTTGAAGTATTTGAAAGGCGTATAGCACGTGCGGAAAGATCTTTGAACCTTAGATTGAAGTACTTTAGGACTGACAATGGGCGAGAATATGATAATGATCAATTCAGGTCATATTGTAATAAAATTGGTGTAAAGCACGAATTTACAGATGTCTATACTCCAGAACAGAATGGAGTTTGTGAGAGATTTAATCAGACAGCTCTAAATAAGTACGTGCAATCTTACACGATAGTGGAATGAGTTCCGAATTTTGGTCAGATGCAGTAATGTATTTTACATATTCATTTAATAGAATCTGTCATAAGGGCCAAGACAGAACCCCATTCGAATTATACACTAAGCGGAAACCATCAGTACGTCATCTTAAGGCATTTGGAAGAATTGCCTATGTGAGAATTCCAAAGTCTAAAAGAAATTCTAAACTTGATCCAAAGGCAACAAAGGGCCGATTGATTGGGTACAGTGTACGAACAAAAGGGTACAAGATTTGGTTGGAAAATGAGCAAAAGGTAGTAGAAACCCTAAGTGCTACTTTTAAAGAGTCGATTGGAATGCAGAAAAGTGGCAGTGGAGCTGCACTGGGCACCCTTCCTGATTTGAAATCTGAAGAAAGGGTAGAGTTCCAATCCACTGATACTCCAGTTGGCTATTTTCTTGAAATAGAAGAAAGAATCGATACCAATATACCTTCTTCTACAATTGGCACTGACACTCAATCTACATTGAGACAAGTAACTTGGCTTCGTAAACCTGTTCCAAGGCCAGACGGCACTCGTACAAGATGTGTATTATTTTGAGAGGGGGTCTAATCAAAGACTACGATCACCAAATGATGTAGAAAGGTATTGCACTGAACATAATATTCAGTATGATCCTACCTTGTTTGATTTCAAGGGAAGCAATACTTATAGTGGTGAAATCGACCCAACTGGTACTCCTTCAACGTCGTATACCCGAGATAGCTGACTAGATGTTTCAATTCCAAACACTTATAACCAGGCAATGAAATCTGCAGAAAAGCTTAAATGGATAGAGGAAATGGCCAACATGCGAAAGCATAAGGTATGGCATCTTGTTCCACTTCCTAAAGACAACACTCCACTAGGTTGCAGGTGGAACATTAAACGGGACGAATTTGGAAACATTGTTCGTTTTAAAGCTCGTTTGGTGGCTCGGGGTTATCGGCAAATTAAATACGATACCTATGATGAAACCTACTCTCCTGTAGTCAACTTTTCAGTAATAAGGCTATTTTTCTCCCTTTTAGTTGCACACCTTGGATGGGCAAATATACAATGTGACGTGAAAAGCGCCTATCTCTACGCTCCTTTATAAGAGGAAATTTACATGTCCCAACCTCAGGGTTTTGTGGAGCGAGATAAAGAAACTTTTGTGTGTCGTTTAGATAGAGCCTTGTATGGTTTGCATCAGAGTGGGGGCGATTATGGTACTATGAGTTGGATAGAACACTATGTAACCTAGGGTTTATCAAGTTTGAGTGGTGTAATTGTGTCTATCGTTTTAAAGATTTTGTCATTCTGTTGGTTTATGTTGATGATATAGTTGTGTTTGGGAAAAGTGAAGTTCAGGCCAAAAGGATATTAAAAGTCCTGAGTTCACATTTTGATTTGAAAATTTTAGGTAAAACAAGAAAGCTTTTGGGTGTGGAGTTTGAATATGAGAAAAATAGTGTTTTAATTCATCAGCAATTATATATAGAAGACATAGTTGATCGATTTAAGTCTTTTAAACTACAAATTACTTCCCTTCCAATAGTTAAAGGTGTGAAATACTCAAAGTCTCAAAGTCCCAGTACACAAGAAGAAACGACTGAAATGAATTATCCTTATAGAAATGTTTTGGGATGTCTCTCGTTTCTTTGCAATCGTACTCGTCCGGATATAGCTTATGCTGTTAATATATTTTCTCAGTTCCAATGCAATCCTGGTAACTTTCACTGGGAAGGATTACTTAAACTTTTAGGGTACGTTTCCAATACCAGATAGCACAAACTCAAGCTGGTATGGAAGGAACTGAAGCTCAATATATATTCAGATTCGGATTTTGCTTCAAGCAGGGATGATATGGTGTCTATTGGTGGACAAATAGCTTTGTTGGGAGAATCACCTGTATCTTGGCGTACGTTTAAAGAAAGGGGAGTGAGTTTATCTACTATGGAGGCTGAATTTATCTCCATGACTGAATCAGCAAAAGAATTAGTTTGGTTTAAAAACATTTTGGATGAATGCATTCAGTTTAAAATTGCAAGTAACTATGTTTCGAGGCCAATATTGTTTGCTGATAATATGGCTGCTATATGTTTTACAAAATCACCCATTGAAAACTCGAGGACAAAACATATAGATGTGAAACTATTTTTCATTCGTGATCTATTGAACAGGGAAATTTTTGATTTAAAATATGTCCCAAGTAAAGATAATCTGGCTGATCCCATGACAAAACCGCTGACTAAGCATAACCTGATAAGATTTTGTGGAACAATTTTCTTATGAAATTTGTTTTTGTGTGTATTTAAATTAAGAGTTTTGTTAATTTGAAAAAATGTTATATATGATGGATATTAGGTAAATGTAAAATTGTATAGTGTAGAATGTTGTATGAGTGACCAGGGCCCTGGGTAAAAGTATTGAGTGTGTGATCATATATATGTCTTTGTATTGTTCTGTAACATGTTGGACTTTCTGGCTACGGTAAAATTTTTGAATAATGGGATAAGATTTTCCCAAAGAAAAATTTTCTTAAAAATTTCTGAATGAAATTGTGATATTTATTTATTCTTGTTTTGAATTTTGTAAAGATACTGGCATTCGGTTTTTATTTCAGGTCGGAGATGATGATGTGGGGGGCATTTGTTGGAAAATATAGCTTATTTTTAAACCTTTTACTGCATCATCTCTCCTCCTTGAAATGTTTATTTAGTTTAGTCCTTATTTTAATGTAATATAGTAGTTACTTCTACTTCTTTTTCTTGCTGCCACTGTTTGCATTGAGAACGGACTGTTTCAACCTAATTGAGATGCAAAAACGAAACATGATGTTACGTCATCTGAAAAGCCGATTCGTGCCGATAGCTGATTGGTTGCCGTGAGATGACGTCATTCCTACTTCTGCTATAAGTATCTCGCGTCGCTCTGGCTCACCCTTCTAGTTCCTGCTTTCCCGGCACTTGAGTGAGCGGTTTCCAGCCCCTTCAGAAGGATGCATGCAGTCCGGTGATTAAAGTGCCTTGGTTTGCGAGATGATGGTTCCAGAATAAAGTTCTTTGGTTCCAGAGGCTACCATGAGAGTGACTGCCATGGGTGGCATTCATGTTCTTCAATAAAGGCGGCAATTAAAAATACGTGAGCGGCGACTCCTTGTGCAAACGGGGTTAGGCCTGTTTTTAAGTGCTTTCAAGAACTTCATTTAAATTTTCAGGTGTTTTTCTTGACCATTGATTATGGACTTATTGAATGGGTAGCCAGCTTCAATTTTAGGCTGCATAATTACTGTTTAGGACATTTTTGTTTGTATAGAATGCCAGTGTTTTGGAGACCAGGATAAAAATATTTGATGAATGATGGTTATATTATATTTTTCCTAAGACTCTAATATTGTTGACATTTATTTTCTGTGTTTTTATTCTTTATTATATTGTTAATAGATTGGTTAAGTTTAAAATCTTTTATTGTCTTCAATGTCTGCACAACATATCTCAGGGAGTTTTTATTGCTACTACTGCTAAATGTTTAATTTCTTTAAACTTTAAACTTTGCTTTAGCATCAAAGGTCTTACGTTCACGCGTAAAACGCCTGTGCACATGTGCCAACGCGGCGCATGTGCAGAAAGTTTTTAGCTTTGAGGTCCGGATTATAGATCATTCTGGATTATGGGTGTCCGAATTAACGACTTTTGACTGTATAAGAAATTTAATAATTTTACTGTCATCATTGGAATAATACTAGGTTATATTTTAACATGTTTATAAAAGAAAATATCAGCTTGGTTTCTTTGGGTTAAGAATTGATAAATTGTTACAATAATAATAAGGTTCGGAACAAGTGAAGTTAAAAATGTATATATATAAAAATGTGTTATTTATGTTTATATAGTAAATTGAGGTGCAATTGTAGGTATTATATTGCAAATGTCTATAGAAAATGAGATTTGAAAATTAGGATAGAATGTATAAAAGTATATGTAGTTTTTTTCTTTTTCACGTTGATCGCAAACAGTTGCTAGATTTTAGTTTCCAGATTACCGATTGATTTATAAATAATATCAACAACAATCTTACGATGGGGGTGTGATATCTGGCTACTGTTTGGCGATCAACAGAGCGTGCTTGGCGCAGGTAGCTCTTGTCCGAGAAGGGTTAATGTATTTATCAAGAGTTGCATGTTAGCCTCAGAAGAGAAAGGTAGTATATTGTATTATGAGGTAGGAGCGACATACTGCTCTGAGTCACTATTATATTATGCTTTGAATCATATATTTAATAAATGTTTGTTTCGTCTTGTTAAATGGTGCCTTGTTAAACCACGAAGTCATCACAGTGGGAACTACTGAATGTGCTGTGTCATACTGAGAAGAGATGGGCGAGTGCTTTTTGTAAAAAGTTCCAGAACCGTAAAGTATTTCTATTGTGAAAATAAATTTTATCAAGCTATCATCTGTTCTATGTGCATTCAATCTATTATGAACCCCTATGCACACAGCAGTTTTTGGTGTCAGAAGTGGGATTGAATGCCAGTGACTAGAGTGATGGAGGAGCAACTCAGACAGCTGGAAACAGAGTTTGCAATATTTCAAGAAAAGATGGAAGAGGCCATCAAGTGTGTTAAAAAAGAGATGAATGTATTTCAAGAAAAGATGAAA